ATTGATGACCAGGTATAGCTTTCATCTCCTCAACTTATTCGATGCAACATTCAACCCCCTTTTTCATTCCTGATTTGTTTAAAAATGTCAAATATATAGAGTCTCAAAATACATTCAAGGTCACAAAACACCTTCTCTTCAGTTTAATACCACTGACATGTGCCTCTGTCTTAAGACCTTGTATTGCCAAGTTTGGACCAGATTTCCATGTTTGTAATTTTTAATACAATTTGTTGATACAATTTTTTTAGTACACATGCTTTTGTACATGGCTGTAATCATTATGATAATAGTCTCATTCCAAAAAGAAATTCTTTCTAAATGCATTTTTTAGTGTCGACTGTCGCAGTGACAAAATATTTTTAAAGTTGGCATACTATTTGGTGCTGGTAACACCTATATCATTATAGCAAGATACTAACATAACGTTTTATATGTGAAAAAAGGTTTTGTATAAACCTCCAATACTTCAAAATTTACTTACAACTTCAGAATGTTTCTTTAGAGAAAATTAAATACATCAGCTACCTACAAGATGGCAGCAAAATAAATAGTTATTCTGACATACAACTTGGATAGCTTTAGTCAGACTTTGTAAATGTCTCCATACATTTCAAGGCACTTGTACATTTTGAGTGAATGTCTAAAAAATAAAAAGACTGTTTTTTTGCCATCAAACATTTTGAAATTCAGGGATGTACTTAAATGATTCTGTTGAACCAAACTCCCAATCAAAACAATATCATAAAACGATGATTATATTTAGTAGAGTTACCTCCCTTGTAGTGATGTGTTAATTCTGATGCTGAGTCAGATGTCTGATGGAAACACAGAATGGGCATAAGTTTCAGAAACGTTTCTTAAAAAAGGGAATTTAATAACTGAATTTTTTCTACAGGAAAGCACCCTTGGATTTAAGGAAGAGATTAAATCATTCCCATCCCCTCCCAATTTTTGAGAAATCTGAGGAATCCTTTTAACAAATCACTCTGAATTGTTTAATTTATTCACCCCTGAAATTTCATAATGAACTATTCCAACCTGTGAACTGGAAGAGTTCAAATGTGTCTTCAGGGGTGAATGAGTTAAGTATAAGCATTTGAATATTGTTTATGGATATGACTAGATCAATTACAAATCATTTCAATATTTTCCAATCTTACTGTGGAAAGTTCCCAACAAAAGAGTCAGTAGAACTATCCTTACCCACATATCCAGAAAAAAAAAAGTGATAAAGGCTTTAATCATCAATAACTTCATACATATAAAACATATACATAAACTCACTTCATGTGAATAAATTGCGTAGTAGAATATTAAATTTTGAATTTACAAAAACAAAATTTATACATCACTGATTTTTAATTTTACAATTCTATCATTATTTATTCAAAACAATTTAACATGGACTTGAGCCAATTATGAACTTAATTCTGCAATATCAAACAACTAAAGTGTGTGATTTATGCTTTAATCACACAGGAGGTTTAAATGCCCACATTTTGGGTTGGGCTATTTTGAAAATCTTGAAATCTCTCCCCGACGATTATAATGTTTAAGGTGGACACTAAAATATTTTATTGCATAACCTCCAATTTCAGATATCAGGTTTTACTTGTCTAAATGAATAATTTAAAAGTTAAATGTTTAATTCATTGATAACCTCAATGAGTTGTTCGAAGCATTATCAGCTTAATTAATCATATAAACAATTTTCCAGATGACCTTTAATTTTAATTTTAATTTTTTCTAAAGACCTTTAAATAATAGAATCTCTGTATCAGGCTTATTCAGGTTATTTCACTTGTATTGTCTGCAGATAATCACTGACAACTTTACACATGTTCAGTAAGTTAGGGATTAAAGTACAATTTAAAGGAGAAATTTATAATAATATTTCTATTGAAGCTAACCATGCTTGTCTTATTTTATGTATTACCTACCAATAGTTTGTTGATTCAGTATATATGTAAATAACATTTATATCATTTTACAAATCAACAACAAGTAATAGGACCTGATACAGAGAGCGTAGTTTGATCTGTTTATCTCATGTTCTCTATTACTTATATTTCAGTTCTATTTTTTTTCTGAATTAATCGATTAAAAAAATTCAGTTCTGATTGAAGATTCACGTATGGATGGACTATTTGATGAACGAAACTACACCCTATAGAAATGGACACTTAACATGTGCACACTTTTGCAGGAATGGGTCTTAAAACAATATGTTCTGTATATCTCTTTCCTGAGATTTATACCTATTTATACTGTATAGCTGCTGAATTTCGCGGGATTAAAATTTCGCTATTTTGTGTCTTGAACTTGTTCGCGGGGGTTTAATTTCGCAACTCACAATTTCTGTATGTCTATTTCTGATCATGCTTGGTTTCGCTGTGACCCACAATATAAGTAGACTAATAGTTTTATTGTGTATGTCTGATTTTTTTTTTTAATTTCAATTCATCTGTTAATTATTTTGAATAGTGTGTACTTCTTTCAAAACGATGTTTTGACCTAGTAGCCTCAGGTCAACTGATATCACGGAGGTGTGAAGTTATGGTGACAATCTCAAAATATTCACGAGGGTTCTGATTTTGCGAAATTTAAACCCTCGTGAATATTAGCAACAATACGGTATCAAAAACATTAAGAAACAAGCTAAAAATTCAAATTCCAATCCTGAATCAATTATCAAAAAAAGGTTCACTCCCCCCTCTCCCCTAAAAGCAACATAGTGATTTTCCTTCTTCAGCATATGAAATGCTAGTTGGAGTATGTTGTATCCCTGGGATCAACTCAAGTTACACTTTTGTACAATGACTTAAAATTATTAGATTGATACTTGAAGTACAGTGTATTAATCTTGAAACATCTAAAGGCAAAAATATCACGTTTCCATCCAATATTTTATTCTTGAGATAGAGGAATATCTGTAATTGCTAAGACAAATAAACGCACCCCTTTCACCGTCAAACATTTTGAACCACCCACAGCTAGTGGTAAAATAGATGGCAATAAACTACAATCAAAATTGTACTAAAATATAAAGATGCTTTGAAACCTGTTTTTTTCTAAGTTTCTTCCCTAAAACTCTCTAAATATGAATTTCAAACATCTGTGTTTTCACATACATACATATTTATATATACACAAAGCTAGAAAAATTGAGACCTTCCAGGTTAAAACAAGGAATAATGTATACCATAAATACAACAGATTGCTTGTCACTGAAAGAAGTATCACTTCTGATCAATATCATAAACTCAGTCAAGACATTCAATGACATGTACAGTGACAAAGCAGATTCTCCAAAATAGAAATGGGGTCAATCATATTCAGTAAACTCATAGATCTTTTTTCAGTACCTCCAGTAACACTACGAGATGAAATGAAAAACTTATGATTGATTCTTATCGCAAATCATTTGTTATGTTCGACAAACTTTTATCGAAAGCAATTTTGTTATGAAAGGAATCTATTTGAATATCAATTAAGAAAACGTAGGAGCAACTACTTCAATATCTGTAGGTAAAGGGCGCATAAAAACACATACACAAACAATTTTTTCATATAAATTATGTATCGTATATCTCAATATCAATTTCTATTCATGTCAGGAAGATGCGACGAAAGAATTTATAATCTAATATCTATTTTGTAACTATCATGTGCCATTAATGAGAACGAACCACCTGAATAAATTTAATCTCATTTTAAAAGTACAATAAAAATACCCACTGCACACCCCAATATTTGTCTAAACAGGCTCAAATAAAAAAAGGTCCCACTAGTTTTCATCAATAGCCTGTATACATAATTTAATATATGTACACTATAACATTTATGAAGCATTACGTTAAAACTCAAATTCAAAATTTAAAATCCAACCGACACTTGAGTATGATTATATACTAATCACATACAGAATCATATCTAAATTACGATCCTTGTCATGTAACGATTTCAGAATCAGCTACATCTTCCTTTGATGTTGTGAGTTTATTCACCGCAGCGATTGTAAGGACCATCAAGCTTTCAATTATCCCATTTTTACCTATTAACTACATCTTTATCAATTTCAAAAGCTTGCTACTGAGGTGATATTTTTGGCCGATTACTGAATGCGATAATGTCATGATAAGCGTTGGCTAGACATTTAAGAAGTGACTGGTTTTGAAATTAAAATTCAAACTCGATTAACTGAAAGATGCAAGTCACTGACACAACTGTATATATATATATATATAGCGTCTTTTCCCCAAGCATAATATTAAGAACGACATAAAAATGTAAAATCAAATTAAATGAATCTAACTGCCGCTTCAACCATATGTGCACATAAACATTTATTTATTTAAAGAAGGAAACTTTTCAGTAAGTTATGCAAATAATAAAAACACTATCTGAAGCAGCTAGCAATACTTTAAAGTCACTGTAGTTATTTCTGTCGTAATCCAGAGTTGAGTTCGTCAGAATGGGTTGCCTTTCTTTCTTTGGGTATGGATGACAAAAGAGGGCTACATCACTTCACTTGGGTACAGATCTCTTTTTAAATAATAGTCTATTGGAGGTAGGTGTTAAAATGCTAATTTCTGACAAACACTGATTCCTTGTGAGCAGGAAGAGTCACTAATTGTAATGTAGGTCAAAGTGTATGTACTCTTATACCTATGTACTCTTATACCTTCTTTGATTTTTTTTTTTTTTTTTAAATTTCACGAAAATTCATGAAAAGTCCATTGATATCATAATTTTTCATGAAAATTTACCTTCATTTTTATGCATCAATAAACTTTTTTGCAGGGATTTTAACTTGCGAAATGGGAAAAAAGCAGACACACATATAACATGTTGTTAAACAAACTAGACTAATAATTTTAAAATGTTAAAATTCACAAACATCTCTCAATGCAAATTAACCTGAAAATGTGCATCTCCTATATTATTAAAATATAGGTTATATACAAAATAGAGTAGTGCTACAAAGACGGACTTACGGAGAGAGGGGACTCCCAAACTCCCAGCACCATACCGTCCGGGGACCACTCCAGGCCACTAAGGTCGTCCGTGTCGGTCTCAAAGTGCTGTAAATAGGATATAACAACATTAAAAATTTCATACCAACAAAATCTTTCTAAGTTGGCTTCAAGAATATTTTAAAAGCTATGATATTACATATAAAACCTATTCATGTGTTAGTTTGTTTAGTAAATCTGGATTATTCTGTAGTAGAAATACCAAAAAGATTGGGAAAAGTGTTTGTATAGATATACAGAATTTACAGGATTTAATGTGCAGATATCCTCCTTGATATCTCACCGAAATTCTTTTGATATCTTTCAGAAATTATCTCAAATATCTTTCAGAAATTCTCTCAAATATTTTTCAGAAATTCTCCCTGATATCTTACAGGAATAATCAATGATGTCTACAGCATCGTTATGCTAGTTTATAATCTGATTCCTGATGTCTACAAAGTTTATGTTACCATTATAAGTAAACAGTTAGGTAGCTGATGTCTAAACAATCTCTGTAGTTTTGTACAAATACAGACAGGTATTTCAACCTTAGCAGTAAAGGATCTAAACAGTCGTTGTAGCTTTGTACAAATCAACCTTAGCATTTAAGGCATATCAAGCTAATAGCGGTGTAATACTAGGCAGTGTTTTCTCCAGAAATGGGGATTTTGTACACCCCCGCCCCCCTCAACTATATCTGTCTATATCACTATCAGTGCCCTCCCCCCACCCCCCCACCCCCCTTTCAAACCTGGAGAAAACACCTCTAGGACAAGCATCATTAGAATGATCACAAGGACAGTACCTTGACAAGCTCCCACATACTGCATGTAAATATACTGATGTAGTCTTTACAGTCTCGTCTCTCAGCTAGTGCCATATACTTCCCTCCCACACTGAAGTCCATACCTACAACACACAAATAGAATGCATCAATGACATGTTTAAAATAATTTTACTCTTTAGCAAGGTTTCCTGGGCCCATATTCAATTGAAATGATCAAACTCAGATTTTGTGCTCAAGCCAAGTTTCTTATTCTGGTGATAAATCTATCAAAATTTATATTTTGTCAATGATCCAGAAGACTTTTGGAGATACTAAGGGCAGAATATTGTTTACAAGGTTTAAGCTTGAATCTTCGACTGTGTGACATGATTTTAAGCCAGTTACATGAAAGTAGGATCGAGCACAGATTCCATGCTTGAGCCCAAGTACTGCCCCTGGTCTAACACTTTGAAATGGCTACTTCAAAAATACAATGTACAGCTTTTAAGATTTTATGATATTTTTTCTATTATCTGAAATGGATGCTTAAACAAAATAATACTATAAGCTTTGATATGAAACAATAAAAAAGATGCAGATGATAAACCTCTGAAGAAGAAACGCAGATACATAGGAATAATGTAAATCTCAATAGTTCACTTATAGTTCCTATATCTATTTATCATTTAAACACAAAACAAGTTTTCCTGTGACTTTGTTATCCATGAAAATCAAAAGACCAGGTGCAGTCTTCATTGATATACAAATCACGTTAAGCTTCTGACATTGTAATGAATATCTGTGATATTTCTCTATAAGTACCAGTTATATTTCAACCCATATGATTATTAATTATCATAATTTTCAATCTATTGTTTTCATAAAGAACAAAGATCATTGTCTATGCTCAAATCAATTCAATATAATTGCAGGCAAAACATATACAACATTCAGAACTTCTTCAGGGAGTAACTGATAGAAAAGGTAGACTGAAATAGTCAGTGAATATTTTATCAAAGATTGTCTTAAGGGATCCCTGTCCCACTGCAATGTGGGTTTTTTTCTAATCTACAGTAACCTCCCCTTAACTTCCGTTTAGATATAACTGTAGCACAGTTGGGCCAGGACACCTCTGTTGACATGGTAGCTCAGTCAGTTACAGTGATAGTACATCAATCTGAAGTCCAGGGTTCGAACCCCGGTCTAGCCCCACTGATTTTTTTTCCATACACTCAGAACACTGTTGTTGATTATGTTTTGTTTATTTAATCTTTATGATTTTTCATGAAAGTCCCATAAGGTATGGTTTCCTTTTCAGAAATTATTGATCAAGGCTTTAGTCATGCCGGACAAAACAGTTTCCAACACTTAGTTAAAGTTTCTGGGAGTGGTACAGGGATTCTTAAAAGTACTTGATATCAAGAATATCTAATTACCTACCCCCACTTCAAGTTTTAGAAAATAATACCAATATATTCTAATCTTTTCTTAGTCATGTTAATACTTCAATGGTTTTCGTATATATAAATTCCAATGTGTCATGCTGTATCGGTAACTGTACTCATCAAAGCATCACATTCTGTTTTTAATTTTTATGAAACATTATAAAGATTCTTAGAATCCTTATTGTAACACAGGTCTAGAAAAAATACGAAAAGATATTAAATCCGAAATTTACATTACATCAATTTATAGGCAAGATAATCATGAATACTGTTTGACCACTAAACAATTTTAAATGAACCTTTTCCAAGATGAGTATTACTGCTTCCTTGAAAATCATTCTCATTTTCATTGACAATAAAAAAAAATAACAAAATATATATACCCATAAAATTTTCAATGTTTTCATGAACATAATCAATAATACACCACAGGGATTAATTTACATGTATAATGGTTAAACACTGCAACATTAAATTACATGTTTCTTCTAATTATGTGTGATATCCACTTAAAATCAAACCATATTGACAAAAATATTCATACTTGCCAATTTTGGACCCATAAATTTAGTATTTTCAATCAGTCAGTTTGCTCAACTATATTCTAAGATCTAATGATTTCATCTGAAAGAATATGTCATTTTAAAGGGTTATTTTGTTTCTAGGGAGTATATACACACATTTTACTTATATTTCAATTTTGAGCATGAAGAAACTCCCCCAAGGAAATTTTAAAAAAGTTGACAAGTATATGTATAACAGCCTCTTCTTATTGAAGCAGGTAAACTTACAAAGCTCTCTTTCATAAACATTTATCAATAACGTCAAATATGTTATGCCCTTTACAAACAGGTGGTTGAATATACAATGCTACAAATTTCTTACATTTTGTCATGAAAAAGAAGAATTTTCCTTATCATTGTTTACATTTATGTCTCACGACAATCAATAGCATTTGAAATCCACACACCCGACCCAGATAATTCCTCGCAGCCGACACTACTCAAAGGCCATTAATCCTACAAATCGACACCCTATAAATTCAGTATATGGCAGGTGAGACATTCCCTAAATATCTATTGGATGAAATATCTGGAAACAAAACAATGAATAGGTTATAAGAAACGTATTTTTACGGGCCTTTAGCAAACCTTTGCATGAACTTTTTCTTTCTGACAAGAGTTTCAAAAGATCAGTAAATGTTTATATATCGTGTAGTCTACCTTCAATTAATACTGATTAGGGGGGTAAACATTTTTTAAACTCACACATCTTCCAACATAAAAAGCAGCACAATGAAATAGTTTGATGTTTATCAATGCAAACATTAACCCTTTCACCCCTATTTACCTGGAGTAGACTCTACCATACATTGATATTGATTAGTCCATTATGGTCTACATTGGTGAAATGGTTTAAGTTTAGAACAATGCAAGTAAGAAGAAGAAAGAAAGTTGAAAGGGACATTTATGAAAATCTTCTTCCTGGCCTGTATGACCTCTGACCTTTGGTCTGACATATTCTCCACAGGTCTTACCTTTCTGGCATTGCTTGGGATAGCGGATGTAGGACACCGACTTGGTCACGAGAGACCACACTGTGATACGCAACTGTAAAATACAAAATCGTAGATATCAACACACATAAATAATAAACAGCCATGGTAACTCGGTACAAAACAATAACAGACAACTGTAAAATACAAAATAGTAGATATCAACACACATAAAGAAGAAACAGACATGGTAACTCGGTATAAAACAATAAGAGACAACTGTAAAATACAAAATCGCAGATATCAACACACATAAATAATAAACAGCCATGGTAACTCGGTACAAAACAATCATAGACAACTGTAAAATACAAAATAGTAGATATCAACACACATAAATAATAAACAGCCATGGTAACTCGGTACAAAACAATCATAGACAACTGTAAAATACAAAATTGTAGATATCAACACCCATAAATAATCAACAGACATGGATACTCGGTACAGAACAATAATAGACAACTGTAAAGTACAAAATCGTAGATATCAACGCCCATAAATAATAAACAGACATGGTAACTCGGTATAAAACAATAAGAGACAACTGTAAAATACAAAAGCGTAGATATCAACACACATAAATAATCAACAGCCATGGTTACTCAGTACAAAACAATAATAGACAACTGTAAAATACAAAATCACCGACGTCATCACAGACTTATTGATACACAACTGTAAAGTACAAAATCATAAACGTAAAGTCGTCAACACACGATCATAATAAACAGACGTGTTTACTCGGTACAAAACAATAATATGCAACTGTAAAAATGCAAAATTATAGAAGTTATCTAACAGTCATAATTTATCACTTGGAACATTCCTCACAAAACAGATATGCAAATGTAAAGTATGCAGTCAGATGTCTTCACAGTCAGATCTTATTACTAGGTATCCTACAATGCTATGTAACTGCAAAATACAAAGTCATCAATATAATTGTTTCCATTGGACTCCTGTTTGAAGGATCCCCGTACCACTGCTAAAAATGTATTAGAAACTGTTTTTCAAGCATGATTATAGCTTTGACAAACAATTTCTGAAAAGAAAATCTTACCTTGCTGGACGTTTATAAGGAATGTTTATAACAAAATATAACATATTACAGTTTTTTAGTGCAAAAATTCAGCGGGACAAGACGAGGATTTGAATCCTTAACTTTGAGAATGTTGTACTTTCACTCTAACGGACTGAGCTACCTGGTCAACAGAAGTCTCCTTGCCCAACTTTGATACTGTGGCAGGTTAAGGGGAGGTTACTATATATAGGGAAAACCACAGTGCAGTGGGACAGGGATACTTAAGGAAGTTAAGGGGAGCTTACTGTATATAGGGAAAAAACACAGTGTAGCGGGACAGGGATACTTAAGGAAGTTAGGGGAGCTTACTGTATATAGGGAAAACCAGTGTAGTGGGACAGGGATACTTAAGGAAGTTAAGGGGAGCTTGCTGTATATAGGGAAAACCAGTGTAGTGGGACAGGGATACTTAAGGAAGTTAAGGGGAGCTTACTGTATATAGGGAAAACCAGTGTAGTGGGATAGGGATACTTAAGAAAGTTAAGGGGAGGTTACTGTATATAGGGAAAACCACAGTGTAGTGGGACAGGGATACTTAAGGAAGTTAAGGGGAGCTTACTGTATATAGGGAAAACCACAGTGCAGTGGGACAGGGATGGAAGATAAGGGGAGGTAACTGTATATAGCGAAAAAACACAGTGCAATGGAACAGGGATGGAAGTTAAGGGAAGGTTGCTGTATATAGGGAAAACCACAGTGCAGTGGGACAGGGATGGAAGTTAAGGGGAAGGTTACTGTATATAGGGAAAACCACAGTGTAGTAGGACACGGATACTTAAGGAAGTTAAGCGGAGCTTACTGTATATAGGGAAAACCACAGTGCAGTGGACAGGGATGGAAGATAAGGGGAGGTAACTGTATATAGCGAAAACCACAGTGCAATGGGACAGGGATAGAAGTTAAGGGGAGCTTACTGTATATAGGGAAAACCACAGTGCAGTGGGACAGGGATGGAAGTTAAGGGGAGGTTGCTGTATATAGGGAAAACCACAGTGCAGTGGGACTGGGATGGAAGTTAAGGGGAGGTAACTGTACTGTATAAGGAAAACCACAGTGAAGTGGGACAGGGAAGGAAGTTAAGGGGAGGTAACTATATAGGGAAAATCCCAGTGTAGTGGGACAGGGAAGGAAGTTAAGGGGAGGTTACTGTATATAGGGAAAACCAGTGCTGTGGGACAGGGATTATAGTAAAGAGTACAGTTAACAGAGGTCAGATACATGACTGATATGAAATCAACTCATATCTAATTTAGGTCCGGGTCAAATAATGGGCAATGAAGTCTGACCACCAGTATCTCAAACTACTAAAATCTTAATGTAAACAACTTGATGCTGATCTACTACAGGATGTCAGGTTAATTCACTAAATAGCCAAACATCTACAATAACACCTGACGCGTTACTAAAATACCCAAATATCTACAGTAATGTATAACGCTTCACAAGTCTAAGTGGCGAAGTCTCACACACAATTATGGTTACAGAAAAATGTACTTCCATGGTAGAAATAGTTTGGTGTCGGTGATCTAAATGGATTAAAGAGACATTATCCTGGGTTGAATTCAGGATCGTAGAGACTTGATTGCCTGCATGAGATGGTCTCTCTTACCATAAAGGACTTAAAGAACAGCAATATGTCTGCACTGGTTCAATGTTATATGATGTTTGGTAAAAAGATATTTTTTTCTTCAGAATAATGAATTTTCAGTGCACAAAGCAAGGCAATCTGTGTGCATTCAAATACCCAACGATTATCAAAACAGCATGTACTCATGTACATCTTCGCATAAAAATTCTAATAATGATTTTTATCCTTTTAGCCAAAAATATAAAGCTGAAATGTAGTATACTGTGCAATAGTTGGTCCAGTTGTACGGTGTGTTTCGGTTGGGTTTTTTTCGCAAATTTGTAAATAATTCTTGTGTCAACAACTTTTTTTTGAAATTTTTCACCAAGGACCCTTTCGTACAATTTTTGAAACCTTCCAAGGGTGATCCTTCCAAATACAGGCACCGGTTAGGGACTCTTGACCATGACTATGGTAGAATGTCAACAGAAGACCTTGTTCATGTCAACAGTGACAGGAAATTGCTCTTGATTCTGAACACCGTGTTTGATGAGTCTATCATAATTTAAAGTACATTCCCATTAACTTGTACGAAACCCTTTAAAACCATATGGATATCTAAAATCCATGCAGGTAATGAAAACAGAATTGTTTGCTTGTTAAGGTCAAAAGGTTCCTATCATAATCCAAAATCACATAAAGTTAAAAACCAAATACTCTGAAGTTTTCAAAATTACATATAAAGCCCTACGACACTGGTATGTATAATGATAGTTATACCTACAGGGCATATTATTATCCCAGACAAGACATTTTCACTTTTGAGGTACACAAAAAATAGTCCATTAACTTACTTAGTACTGTTAAGATCTTTAAATTCTGATGAAGGTATATTTTCATCTTGGTTGAATATAGAATATTCTCAAATTGTACATGACCGAGAATGTTATGCTTCTGAAGGATGATTTTGTAAAAACTTGAATTAAATTATTTGATATTTTTAATTTCATTTCATTGAAAAGATATTTTCTCTACATTTCATTGGTAAATATATGTTAATGAAAATGATAATGTATGTATGTATTTGATTTTGAATGATTGAAATACTATAACTCTAATTAAATTTTGACATGATGAATAAAATCTCACACTTTTAAATAGTATGAGATTCTATATTCATCATGTCAAACCTATGAATCTATGAAAAAAACGTTTTTCTTTGGTGTTTATCCAATAAAATCAATACTTAATAAAAACTCATCAAGGCTTAACTGAAGTTACATTGACAGAGAAGGTGTGAATTCAAGGGGATTGGTATCACATTGCTAACAGAAAATAAATGGATGGAATTTGTAAGTAGGTGCAACCACATCAAACCTAAACCCTAAACTACCGCGCAAGTGTAAAGTCCATTTTACGACCATCACTTAGTGTAAACCTTTCTCAGGTGACCTCAGCATTTCATCTGTACAATGCTTGTTTACAATGAAAATTAGAGTTTTTATCTACGGAGTTAACAGTTAGCCTCTGTCAGAATTAAAACGATCATCACAGAAAAGGACTTAACTGTTTATTTATACAAGATTAAATGTGTGTAACAAACAAACACCAATCCGACCGGTCAAACAGAATGGTCAAAGAGTGGTCAAGCTGGTCATATTGTCCAGGTACAGGATCACAATAGACTAATTTATTTGTGTGAGATAAGGGTATGGACTGACCAGAGATACAGGCTAACACCTAATGTCAATAGACTGTGGCAATTTTATACGGTGTTACATAACTCTGAACAGACAATACTATTGTAATAGAATACTCTCAACACAGATAGTATCTCATGAAAAGATGTTTTCGTTATATCTTCTTGAATTGGCTAGAAACTGTGTGATTTCATTGAAAATAGGAAAAAGATAAAAATCCATGAAATTGTTTGATAAAAGTAATTCACCAGACTGATAAAGGTCACACGATGCCAAATGGTGTCAATTCTGAATACTTTTCAAATTTGTTGGGACATTTGTATGCCAAGATTAAGGTCAACATCTGAATTAGTCTAGAGGTTCACACTGTCTAAATGTCTATATATCAGATAATCATTAAGACTGGTCAGAAGATTAAAACCCACAGCCAGAAAAACCTGTAACAGACACATTCTCAACAGTCATTCAAACTCTTAATTGTGTGCGTGTGACATTACCTTTCTTGGAAAAGAAATAACAATATTTGAACAATGTGTTACTTCCTCAGAAAATATTTGTTATCAAATAGATTACCTGCATATCTTAGGTTCTTATATATCACCTGATTAGTCTAACATCCAGGCCAACAAGTGGTTAATAAATTAAAGTGGTTAATATATGTTGAAATAACTTGTTTCAAAATTGTTGTAAAATAATTAAAATTTATATCTATAAGTCAAAAGACTTTTTCATGTGCATTTTCTCTAAGATATTAAAACTTTCAATAAATTTGTAAAACTTGCATCTCTAACTTTAAAATATAATGGAGTGCAATGTAAATTGTACAACATTTTTTAATTTTCTATTTTCAAACTTCCCAGCATTCAATGAAAACCATAATTTAGTCTGTAATACATGCACAAAGTAAATTGAGAAAGCATATACTGTATATACCAGAAATTAAATAGTTCTACAGTTCAGCAACCCAAGGCCGAAGGAAAACATTAATTCAGAGGATTATCAGGGGTAACATTCAATACTATAATTTTACATTGAAACCATTGGGTTTTGCAGAACTATATTGGACATTAAAGACATACATTAAAGTCTGCAGTGGTCAGTATATGTCGGCCATCGGGACTCCATCGGACATCACAAAGTCCTGCTGACCCTTCATCTACTTTACAATTCCACTCAGGCTGTTCAAGTGACCAGACCTTAAAGTAAACAAGAAAAGCACTTCAGCTTAATCTGAGACGAATTCTAAAATTCAAAAGATCAACATTCAAATTATAAAAGTCAACACAATCAATCTGTTGATTAGATTTCAAAAATTAATAGAAAAGATATGAAAATTATTAAATAACAAACATTTTCTTTGATATCAAAATATAGTTGACCAATTCAAAAACTCAATGAAAATTAAAAACAAAAGAAGAGTTTCATATATAAGCATCTAATGTTCCTTTTAGGCAGTTTAATTGATTGATTTTTTTTTACATTTAGAGGTTTCTGTACAACTTACATGTCCTATATCATTAATAAAATAAAGGTTTGATTTTTAACATAAATGAAACAATTCACAAATTTCACAGCATAAAAAAAAATATTTTAACTTTGTCCTATAAAAAATTAACACAGCTCACATCACATATATATTTTTTGTATCCCAATGTAATAATTTCAATGGTACAATAAAATTTGTGAGCACTAATCCTGATTAATATAAATATCCCTCATTTACTGTTTCATTCTTACACCTTATCTGGGAGAAACACTTAATTGCTACACATGTACATAGCGTTGAATTCCAATTACACAATACCGGAATTAATTTTGGTACCTTGCATCAAGGGCAGGGCTAATCTCCTTATCTCCTTAATATCTCATCTTTTGTCAATTTGTTCTGTATTGAAATATCAGGTGAGTATTGTCACCTGTCAGCAGGTGACAGGTAAGTCACAGGTACCTTACCTGGGAATACAATAGGGCCAGTATTGTCCCTAATCAGGTGTACAAGATGGTTGAGGGGTGTTAACCTACATCAAAGTAAGAGTAGGTAGTCCTGCATAACAGGGGGTCATTAAGCCTTGTTTACTACCTACCTAGGTAGTTTAACCCAGGTAAGACAAAATGATAGAGTGATTAGGACTACTACCTGAGCAGATTTACCTGTAATCAGATGTGTGAGACTCAGGTGATCAAGAAAGGTAACACAAAATGAAAAGTTTGTAATCTGTTACAGATTATATCTATGGAAGTATGATAATGATTGGTGGTGGGGGACAGGGAAAACAAGGTTACATCAAACACGGACCTGGGGACAGGGGGTCCTACATCAGACAGAGTCAGAGATTGGTGGTCACACCTAATTACAGTCTTATCAGTAGATCACAACAACAAGTGAAATTACAGGTGATTTATTTTCACAAAAAAATAACAATTTTAAAACATATTTATATTTTTTTTCCAACTCTTTAATTTCCACAAAGGCTTGTGCCTTGTCATTTTAGGAAAATATTCTACACCAAAAGCATATTTTGGGAGAAACAAAGCAGTTTTTGATTTTAGGAAAATCTGCAGACATTTTTCTTTAAAGTATTCACTGATATTGTCTAATGGATATAAAATCTTACTTGAAATGTGTTGCTAATAGTATAAAGCTATCATATGTTGGCTGTATAAAGCTATCATATGTTGGCTGTTGTTACATTAAAGATGTGTTACGTAAGGTATGGATTTCTCTTTTACAAATCAGAAATTACAAAACAATTTTCCTTTTATGATATTTAATGTTAACTTTCGACAATCCATTAAAAAAATGCAAAAAATTTAAGAAGGATCTCTCATGTACGACTTGATAACTTCAGTTTGTCCTAAGCCAGCTCAAAATTACAGACTTTTCCTTGCAAGATAATTCTTTAGAGGAAGCAAGTTTTCTGTTGACAGAACTTAAAGCTAAATCTAGGGCAAATTAAAATATGAAATAGCTGTACAGTGTTATCATCTCTATGGTGAAGGCCATATTCTAAACAAGAATTAAGCAGCATACCAACACATTAAATTTGTCACTAGGCAACTCAATCCTCTCTGTAGATTATCTGTGTATAGTAAGGAGGTCAACCAGTAATCATTTCACTGCAAATTTACCAGTATAAACTCAGATAAAGTGGTTTGGTGAGAGCTGAGGCCATATGTGGTGTGGGAATAAGAGGTTTGGTGGGAGCAAATCAAAATCGGCTGATTTCCAATATATCAAAAGTTTGACTTCTTCGTGATGAAATACATTTAATTTAATCCATCATGTTATTTCCACATCAATCAGTGAATATTCAATACACAATGCAAATGCAACAATACTTTTCTATTATTCGAAAAATATCACAAAATACATTCTGTACCTCTAATTTCAAAAATTTCTCCAAAAAATTCAGTCTTGCACCTCCTATTCTTTCATCTCATCTCATAACATAATATCTCATTCTATTATTTTTTTTTTATACATTTGTCATATATGTCAAGTATAGGAAAATCAAATACGCTAAAAGGGTGGAGGCAAGGCAAATATTCCGACCAAAAATGGCAAATAAAAATTTCTGATAAAAGTTCCCATAGAAAACCTAGACTGCATACACAGAGGACACATTCTACATGTGGTATAGCAGTCTATACTACTCAACTTAGCTATCCAGGGCACCATTAAATGGCTGAATTAAAATAGTGATGACATAATTATTTATATATTCTTGGATTTTGAAACCTACCTGCACAATTCCTCTCTTGTACAACCCACAAAGGATGAACTGGGAATCTGCTGACCACTACAAATATGGGGGAAAATGTTTTCATCATCATCATCAACAACAACAGCAGCAGCTCAGGTCAAAAATACAATACTCTAGCTCATAATCCTATTTGATAAGAAGTACCGGCTGCAAATTGTCAATATTCATTGAAAATCTTATTATCGAACATCACCAGAAAGGAAGAAGTGAAATTGTCATTTCTGATACCACTTTGTGAGCATTCCTATCCAAGAACATGCAATATCACACTTAGCTCTGCATTGTACAAAGCTTTAATTTATAAAATATATTTTTTCTTCCATGTTTTTATTTTTTCATTTGTCAATCAGATGAAATGTTTATACTTTAGTGACGTTTGATCTCTATTAAAAACGACATTTTATGTTATGTCTTTACATTTCCAGCGACTCAAATCTATACTAATTCTCGAAATGTCAGCACCTATTACCTCTATAACTTGTATAGTGTCCAAACAGCTGAAGAGATTCTGTATCTGAAACGTCTCCACATCCCGCACGATCAACCGAAACTCTGTCACAGACGCCTGAAACATCCAACATATAAACCTATTAGACTCAACCAAAGTAATAGCAAAAGTGTGATCAATATAATTTGCCAAATTTCGAAAACAACTCATTGCATTGTCAATCTACAAACTTTTTATCATTAACAATAACATCAGAACATTTAACAATAATCTTCTATATACTGTAGCACCAGGAGGGCACTAGAACTTCAGTCAGCTTTTCGTAGAAACTGCTTATATTTCAAACTATCTTTGAACGATATCAAGATAGGACAATAGAAATATACAATTTAAAAAAAAGCCTGTACAATTTTGACAAGGTGTGTCTTGTTAATCAAGTTTTGAAATTTTATTTTTTTTTACCAAAATCTATTGCAATATATATGGTAATTTGGATTACTTTATTACAGAACATGAGATTTGTTTTGAGACAATGTTTTGAAATTTCCTGTTTTCTTTATAATTAATTCATTTGAGTTTCATATTATAAATTTAAATAGAACTTTTCAGAAAAAATGAACATATACTTGACTGATTTACTTGAAAATCAGATTAAAAATCCATATTTTGATCCTTTAAATTTATTTAATAAACATGTAGATGAAGCAACATGTCTAAACAGATGAATAAAATAACATAACACATGTAGATCAAATTTTGTCAACATTCTCTTGTTCAATAAAAATCATAAACCTTGATATTTTGCTAAAAGACATTCTAACTTGTTTTTCAATTATCTTCAAATTAAACTTTAAAATGAAACTTTATAGGCAGCAAAATTAAATTTTTAGGCTTTGCTTAAAGTTTTTTTTGTCTTGTTAAGAAATTGTTGATTTTTAGACACATGCATTCAAAGGTGATATAATTCATATACATAATATGTAAAAAGGTTCAGTTGTTGGCGATACCCAATGTCAGTGTGAAGCATTTCAAGTTACATCACCGTCATGATAGCACCTGATCTTACTATGTGTTGCATTCAAAATTGTAATTACACACAGCTTCAACCTGTTATGTTAGTCTGGAGACGTACCGAGCTATATGATAATTTTATGCTAATAACTTGCAGTATGTAAATCGTAAATATAGCGACATCAGAGGAAAGCACTTCAAAATCTTGCAGCCCTAATCATTGCAATAATGTCTACAGTTTTGATATCATATTTCTTTTTGATTGTTTGGAAGTTCTTTTTTACATATATAGAATAAATCACATCCTTCAAAATTACGATAATCAAATTAAAATTAGGTTGTTGTTTTTTCATGTTAAAATGTTTTTTTTGCTCTTTTGTATTACCATCATCGTCTTCTAGATATGCAGAGAATATTTTTCTCTTTGGCGTGTTAAATGAAGAGGAATCTACAAAGACGGTTTTAAGTCCCTTAAAGACTAATATTACTAGCATGGTTAACAAAGCTTGATTTACCTAATCTATAATTCATACCTTGTGCAGTATTTACATTTTTTCAAATACTATACAGTTGATGTGCATTGTTTGATTGAAATGTTTGGACAGTAGCATATGGTGTATCAGATCTTATAATATACGATTACTTATTACATTCATTCAACTCTCTCAGTATAAATGTTAACAGTAAACAGTTACACTATTTTTCATTTTTACACTTTTTCATTTAGTGTTTTTTATACTGCTACCGTTTGTAAGCGAAGCAAACGTTTGGTGGTACAGTATAAAGGCAATATATATGTTTATCATATGGCAGGAGACAAATTGGGAAATTTAAGAAAATATACAATTAAAGGTACTTATAACATTCATCCGACTCTTTCAGTTAAGATTTTAGACATTTCACCTCTCTTCTATTTTCCTTTTTTACATTTTTTTCATGAAGAGTTTGTTATACTGCCACTATCTGCCAAGAGAAAATTTGGCAATATTAAGGTGTTTTGCACTGTTTGGCAGGACACATAACTTTAAGGGAACTTGAAATAAGAAAACTGAGGCACGAAGTGTTGGCAGTAAGACAATGGTAAATGGAACAAGGGCATTAATATTTACTAAATTTTCTAATCTCATAAATTTCATTGATTATAGATTAAATTAAAATCCAACTACATTAATTAGCTAATAAGTGCCACAAATTTAAATTCAATTGGATTGATAATTGACATGAAAGATTAGCAATTGACATTAATCTTAGTTCATATTTAGTCTTTCATATGGTCTGTCAGAAAAGAAGGTTTCTGTATAAGGCATAAACTTTCTGACAACATAGAAAGAAAAAAAACAGGCACTTTTCCTTCAACTGTTTGAAATCACAAATCGTCAAGAATGTATAACTGTCACTAAATTCCATGTAGTTTATGACATCCATTTTAAAAACATAACATTCAAAGAGTAACACTTAGTTTTTGTTCAAGTAATGGCCTCTTTATATACATAAACATCAATTTATAAAAATCTTTCCCAATTTATCCCCTTTCGCTTTGGTAATAGGCTTAAATATGTATGCAAGTTGAACTTAGGTAAACACATGCATTGTGAAAGTTGCAGAGAAGTGAGTTTTACAGATTTAATCTACTTACAATAGATTTACCTAGTTTACTCTGACATGCCTTACACAGTATTACATCTAAATAGCTCCAATGTAATGGATTACGTCATAAGCCCTTGTTGTTTTCAGAGCACTAATGTATTTATTAAATATTATCATTAATTTTTTGTCTACATAAAATTCTACCTATTGGAGAATGTTAAGAAAAACATGTACCTGAAAAGGTGTTTCCCTAAAGTTTGACATCGACCTTGTTATTTTGTGGTATTATTACATAATGTAGGCATTTCACCCCAACAGTTCATGGGAGGTATTTTATTGACAAATACTTATGATATATGTTGAATGGCTTTTGTTTTTCTAAGATATTACATGAGGGTATATCTCTTTTTTTTACACATGTAATAAAAGTTTTTTCAGACATAGAACACCATAATATTCACAACCTTAACACCTACTTAGTTACGCAATGCCATGAAGCATTTTCACAGCAATGTGATGTATTAATCACAACACCATGCTCATTGGATTTTATACTGAAAAAATGTCCATCAATTTATAGCACTATAACAATCCCTAAAAATCTTTATGGCATGTAGATAAATTCTTTAATAAAATATGAACATAACAGTTCGTAGGGTTTTGCATTTATTTTAATGTGTATAGTTGCAAGAAGGGAGGCAAATCTTAAACAGCAGTTCTATGTCAATAAAGCAAAATAAATCAGTGACTTTCCTCAATACTGGAATATGAACTATCTAGCATTAAAGGTCGAGGAAAGTTAGTGAAATGACGGACACATTTTAAATCATATCTATTGCTTATTTTATGCTCAGAATTCAAACTTTATGAGCACACATTAAACATATATGCCCGGTGCATGATTATTTATACAATTGACACTTTTTACATTTATCTACTACAAAAAAAAATCAATTTTATTTATTTCATCAACAATTTAACATAAAGGTTGGTTCATCAAGTTGTTATACCACTTATAATTTGAATTTTTTTTTAACATGACAACAAACCTTTTTTAAGACAAATCAGCTAGACCACGATAAAATTTCCATTCTGTACCATCGCAATCGTCCAACATCAAAAAATGGTCTAGTCTAATATCATTTCATTGACATAAATTTATCGACCGACAAAATGTAGTTTCAAATTCAATATTCTATTTAACATACAACTGTAAAAGTTTCACTTCACCTAATGTTTTTAAAATAACATGAAAGTACTAGCCTTTTTGGAAGTGATGTAGTCAGTTATAAAATTGGTTCTACATAAAAATATATGACAAAATATTCAATTTTTGCCTTTTTTGATAGTTCCTAACAAGAATTATGTGATCACTGATATTCACTCATTTTTTTATTTTAATTCACTTATCATTACCTCCAGCTGAATAACTAATCTAGGTACAGTTTTTTCAACACCACATATGTAGGTAGCTACTAACTTGATCTGAGACATGATGACAGATGTACAAGTTATTGTTAATGGCTTTGTAAACAAAATATAGGGCCATGGATGTGTTGATAGAATGTTAATAGAACAGTTTGGAGAATATCAAACTGGCATTAAAATGTCATTAAAACCCTAACTGTTACAATACAATAACTGGTCCACATCAATAGCGGAAACTGCAGAACTTCACTTTAATAAAAACAACTTTTATTACAATGTGTGATGCACCAATAGGTATATATAACAAGGTTACAACTACTGTAGGCCTACTTTACAGTTAAACAGTATATATATAATCTAAGGCGTATATGATTTTAATGGTAAGAAAGGCATATGTACTGATGATAACCACTAAAATCTACATATTATTACACGAAAATACATTAGTTTGACAGTATCATGAATTGTCATGATACATCTTAAAAGAAAACTACCTCAGTCTACTAAGAATCTAGTGACATGTTTCCTTACCAAGTATTTCCCATCGGGCGAAAACTTGCAGAGTTGATTGGTTTGTCGAAACAGCTCAGAAAAATTCATCTTCTCCTAACTCAGCTAACATGTATACTAAATCGAGAATTGAACAAGCCAACAGACTAAGCAACGAGTAAAGACACAATATACATTTTAAATGTCAAATAGCAAGTGTCAACATGCGGATACCGCCATTTTGAATTCAGCGCCAAAACAATCGCCGCATGCCTGTTATTTCTTACTAAATATGCATTTTAAAATTGTTTAAAACTGCAGACCCGGCTATTTTCTTCTGTCAAACAAATGTCAAATTGTTGTTTGGGTCGCAAACCTGTCAGGCGTGTCGTAAACAATAGATTGTTTGCAATGTTTTCATAAGTGAACCAACTCCTAGTAGGGGTGCCCCTTTCAACGCACCGGTGGCTCGCTGATTGGTCAGTTAATCAACAGAGCCCTGGATTAGGTTATAAAGCAGCTTCTATGGCCGGTTAGAGCCATCGACCACCACTGTCATTTCGTCTATGGATATAACCCTACTGGTAATGTTTTAGTTTTTTCATTAACAGTTTATCTTTAATTGTAAACTAACATCAGCAGCGAAGAAATATGTTGTGACGTGTTTTCCCGCGAACAGTGTTCACCGCCATTGATATTTTGTACCACGTGGTATGCAATGGAGTCTCTTTGAAGTAAGAGGTAGGCTAGTTTGTGTACATGGGATGTTATAGACGTATCTATATGTGTTTTGGGGCCAACAAATTTCATGCTTCTTCAACGAAGTAACACCTCAACTCATCATCATCGTAAGTAACTTATTCTAAATATTTTATCGTGTACAGATATGATAAATTCCAAGTAAACTGTCACAACTTCACACGGGACACGCATGGTATCCCGAGAAATGTCAATGGCGGATGGGTTTTCAGAATTTGTATGTCGGTCGTTCATAATTTACGACTCTTATATCCATGTTCACCTTTAATTTGAAATGCATCTGACATTCTGGAAATTGTTGGGAAAGGACACATGTAATCGGGAAAACATAAGTTGATTGACTATGTGCTAACTGTTGGATTTTATTTTGTAAACAAAGACTCTTCGGATGTTTGACGGAGATATCTTTACCGTTAGCAATTCGTTATCAAATGTATAACGAAGGTTTGTGCTTACTCTATTAATTTAGTTTTATTCATATCATATTCTTGATTTGAATTTGCATGAATGGATTCATTGACGTAATTGCAAGTTGCATCATATTTATTTTTGCACACTTGTTTATTTTTTGGGTAATTTCCTTCAATGTATTTTTCTGCTCGAGTTTTATCAATTTACAGTAACTATAAATCATTTATTTTCGCCGTTATATATTTTTAACAAGCATTTTCAATACGGTCTTTTGAATAAATATGTGTATAAATTAATATTTTAATTAATTGGTAATAAGATAATAAAAAAACACAAAAAAATAAATAAAGTAAGGTGATGATTGAAGATGATATTTTTATAAAAATCATTTAAATAGATAAATGTGTATCAGTTAAACCAGTATGTTATAACATGGTTACACAAATGGCTATAATTTGAGGTAGATTTGATCACTTGTATCAGTTATATTTTACCCTTTGACTTGCTTTGTGGGAATTTAGGGCTAGCCTTTAAAGTTCGGTAATCAGTTGACACTAGAGCCCTTGTGTCAATTTCAATACCTGTTGGGTATTTTTAAGTCAGTTTCTATGCCTATGTAAAGTAGAAACTAAATCCAGTCATGCATGACATAGCAGTTATTGGTAGCTAGGTCAGGTTTCTTTAACAAATTCTGAGTATCAACAATGACATCACCGGGGCAACGTGATATACACACCGTACAAAGAAAATTGAATTCAATAGATATATATTGAGTGTAGGAAATTCTGAATATCAACGGCAACACCAGAAAACCAATATTTGGATAAGACTTTTATTGAAGCCTTGGAGGTTCACCAGGAAAATGTAAAAAATTCCATGGATAGAGGTACTACCATTTCTAGATTTGTGCCATAACTAGAAGATGAAATACTGGATTAAAAGTAAAATTCAAATGGAAGTTAGCTAGTATGTGATGAATTTCTTTCTTTTGCAGATTCAGTAAATTCATTCATCGTCACCCTGTCATGTCCCAGCTGTCTACTGCTAGTACAACAACTACTAACGGTACACCCTCTGGCCCACCAATGTCTCAAGAAACATTTGAATACCTGTGGAACACACTAGGAGAAGTCACAGAAAATGGGTAAGTCTTCTTTAATTTTTCTACCTTTTCCTGAAAAATGAATTCATATTGATCAATCAATATCATAGATTAAGAAAAAGGACTAATAAATGAACTCCTCGGAATGCTTTTAAAATCACTAATAAGGCCAATTTAAAAAAATCTTGTGTTTCCACTAATTCTACCTACCCTAGAATTTTGTACCCTTAAGTTTTTAATGGCATTAAGTGATAAGCAATGTTAAAATCAGGACTCCTGCTCTATAGAAACAGTAAAAATATGTTTAAAAAACTTTTAAAAATACCTACCTCCTATATATTGTTTCTCTGAGGATGATAGCGGAAACACAAGTAAAAAATGTTTTGGTCTAATTACTGATCTGGCATAATAAGTCTCAAAACAAATTATTTAAATTTGATTTCAGTGGATATACTCAGATTGCGAGCAGGGAATTAGATTACGAATATGCAGAACCGGTGGGTGATGAGACAAGTTTACAGATTGAGAGATTCCAAATTCGAGGCCAAAATGACTCCATATCTGATCTGGTAAGTGCTTTATTAAGATTTTTCATTAATAGCAAGTAGTGCCATTTTAGTCTTTAATTTGTCTTTTATCAATTAATCATTGCGTAATTTATGTGTTTTTACAGTTATATTGAGCAATTTTGCTGATTTTTGTTCTTGTCTATCTAGCTTATTGACACCCAAACAAAATTGTTTTGATAAACTGTGTGAAGCGTGAGCGACTTTGTGACTTCATGGTGTGTACACTCCAAAAAGACTACCACTCAGTGCCTAGTCTTGACCACATAGCTGACACACGTCCATTACAAATGTGTTTACCACACATCAGTGTGTTTTACCTTTAAACATAGGTAACCCCTAATGTTCACCTGTAGCACAACTGCAGACCCACCAAGGGCTTTGTTCTGGGTGTGACCAGGGTCACACAGATAGGTGAGGAATATGGGGATCCTAAATTTACTTTGAGGGATACAAACATCTTGACAGAATGTTTGATTATCATTAAACAGGCCAGATAGAAAAGGAAAACAAACACAGGTCTGGCCTGCTTTTAAATTTTCAGTGTGTACTGTACGCCTGTACACAGCCCCACACACCATTACAAGTCTACAGCCACAACACCATGTGGTTGAGCTAAAAATAAACACAGGTAGCGTCTCTTCTGGTTGTCAAGGCAACCTGGTGAAGCTTTACTCATTAAAAGCTCTGACATTTGAGCCAGGTTTTCCCAAGGCCAGTAGGCATTCAGATATAGATTTTCCAGCCTCTGTAGCCACATATAATTATTGGACCAGGCTTTTCCCTTTGTGTAGTATGTAGCCTCGTAACAGAAGTCATTAACATAATAAATTCTCAGTGAACCCAGTGGTGTGTACCTATATTGTAGATTGAACAGCGCCTGATCTGGTACTTACCTGTACATGTCAGGACAGGTAGATAATTACGTACCTTAGCAAGACTGGACATGCCACATATATGTAGATATTTCAGTAACTTTAAAGCAGATATTTAGTCTCGAAATGCATCAGTGAGACCATTGGATTGAACAGTTATATCTGTGATATATATTTATGTTAGAATTTTTCCTGTGATATTACATACACTCCGTCCAAAATGATTAAGTTTGAGAGAACTGGATTCACCACATACAGGGTAAGTGATTAGGTGTCGAGTTTATTAGTAACTCGGACCACATGGTGTTGTTAGTAATGTACTTAATTAGAAATTCTCAATAATTTTCTTACGACAAAAAAGGGGGGGGGGGGTCAGAATGGGTGTTTATTGGGGGATTTCTTCATTAAATTGAAGTCATTAAGAAATATTAGGGTTAACATAGAAATATATCTTTGATCATCCGTATAAACAGATAAATTATGTTTCAAATTTTTTATGTGTTTGAATTAAGAAAGAATTGTTGAAAATTGACATTGATTATTGTTTGGTCATTTAACTTTATATTCTATTAATTTTAATCATTATTGAAACATCTCAATCATTCATTATCAATGAAATATTTGTGTACAAAGGTCAAGCCAGGTGTGTATGCTAATTATATCACTAGCTGCAGACTGTTGCTGGTGAGATCTGCTAAAAATACATCGGTTGATCAATAAATATTGATAGATTTTTCATAAGAAGCTTTATGAATAGAGGGAAAAGTACAATTTTTTTGTGTTCAACAAAAGCAATTCAGACATAATTTCGAAATTAATTCTCTAAAATATTATTGGAAATGTGTTTTCAAACATTTAAAATGTTATTGTTGATTATTTACACTCAGTTTTAAAATACATCTTTTGTTTTGTATCGTTTTAAGTCTTCCTATACAGTACTTATCTATTCTTTCATAATTTTATTTTGTGAATATATTGACAAAAACAATAAAGAAAATTTTGTTAAAATAGCGATGTGTGTCCCACTGAAGGTATGAGTGGGTAGACTTGTACTCAAAATGTCAGGTTGTTCTTATCTGTAATGATATTCATAGACACAAGTAGGTCTAACATGATTACTTCATACCTATCGGCTGGTCATATATATCTACCACACTGACCTACATTATTGATTTATTATCTTACACTACTTATCTCCTTATTAACTGTTGTGAAGCAGAGCCTAATATGTACTGGTTTATACTGAGTTTACCTACCACATGATATAATAAAACTTCTATTTTTTTGAAAAATTTGTTCATAAATTTATTTCTTCTCCAGAAATATTAAGTAATAATACTGACATTTTAGTACAAGTGTTAAATATACTCTCAAATTAAAATCAAAATTAAAAGCATCAATAATTTACTACCAGAATATCTAACAAGCGAAGTGTACACACAGGAACATGATGGTAAAGATACATAACAAGCAAGGCATAATTGATCGTGAATTAAAATTAAATCAATTTGACAATCTCATGTTTTGATAGGTGTATTCAAATTTATTAAATGTAAGAAAGGTAAAACATATCCATGTTCCCACTCAGTTTTTAATTATGTGGTTGACTTGAAAAAAATAGCTAGTTAACATTCACCTGCTTTAATGTTGATCTATACCTAAACATATTTTTTTGAGGGAAATTGCTGTTTCAAAGTTGAAGAACAGCAGGCTGTTTTTGCTGGCAACCAGCTTTTAATGAAAACACTCATGTTACCTTTAAGGGGATATACTTTGTAAAAAGTTAAATTTATCAGATGTTTCATTTTGATGTCGTTGCAGCTTAACCCTATCATCGCTAACACAACATCGGCCAGTTCTATGAGCCCAGACTCCCAAACCAACATCATCGGCAGCTCAGCATCCAGCCCATACAATGATGTAAGTATCTGTGTTAGTTTGTGTCAGTTTTCGTAGAACAGTGCATGTAATGACTTAGTAATGCTTTCACCATGAATAGGTACATATAATGTAGATATTTCTTCACAATCATATTCACAATTAGATTCGGATTATGTATACTTAAATATTTCAAACATGTTTTTGGAATATTTCATGCTTAGTGACAATTTATTTCATACTATTGACATTAAATTCACTGTAAACTTGAAATCTTCAAGATTTAAGTTGTTAATTTGGTTTTTTTATTGACTTGGAATTTCATTGTTTTTTTTCTAAGTTTAGTTGTGTTTGTGCTCACTGTTTGATGTTGTTGTAATGTGGATGTGTTAATTTCAGACCATCACATCCCCGTCCCCATATTCACCTCACACGGGAATGCAGTCCCCCATTCCATCAGTACCATCAAAGTAAGTCAATCTCCTCCTCACAATTCAATATTTTCATCAGTAAAGGGCATTTCGTTATTGTAATTTCCATCGTTTTCATCAATTTCCATTGTTTTCATCAATTTGAAGTCAAAGTGTGAATGAAAATTTTGTTTATTTCATTAAAAATTTGTCTTCACTTTTGTATTTGAACCTGTACTTCAAAAAAAAAATGTTTAGGTTTCTTGTCAATATCATTTATTTTAAGGATATCTTAAAAATAATAATTCAACAAAATAAAACAATATCATCATACATCAAGATACTTGTTTAAAATTTTCTTTTAAAAATAAAATTGTAAAAGAAATGTATGTATTTATTTTATTGACTTATTGATAATAGCCGGGTGGGGATAGGCAATTTGCATGTGGCTTTACTGTGGTGAACTTTGTAGAAATATTGGAACAAGTTATCATGACACAAGACATTGTTGTAGTATTGCTCCAAAATAGATTATGTACGTAACACAATGGCGTGTTTGATAGCCTTGGGGTGCTCTACAGCATTGGCCATTGTACGTGTTCCAACTTGAAAGCCCAATTTAAATCTCCCCAGAATATTGATGTTATCAGAAAAGTCATAAGGTAAACAAGCCGGGTCCCACAGGCTAAACCTGTACAACGACTAAACAGCATTGTAGGTTTCCATTAGACAGGTACATTAATTAATAGTTCAAGGTAGCGATCAAAAACTTCTCTTCAATTATTAATAACAGAGAATCATTTCAAAATGAGCACATGTGTAAAATGTATCAACCTGTGTGTACAGTAAAGTTTGAAATTCCCCTTTTTGCTAAAAATGGACTCTTCTGGCTTAGTAGTTAAGTGTTGACACAAAGGCCAGTGTATACTATAGTGTACCTGAATTTGATATGAAGGAGGGGAGGCACTATTGACTCACTCTGGTATTGATCTCCCTATGAAAGAACTAGTTTTTTCCCCCATTTATGCTAGTTCCTGGCTAATGAACACGAACAAAAGTGAGGGATTGTCCTATTGGGACTGGTACCGTTAAATAACCGTAATCTAGGTCAACGACTCAGGAAATATTTTATGCTAGGCAGAATGCCTTTGTGTGACAAACACCAGCACATACTCCATTAGAACCACGCTTGGAGATTAAATATCCTGTATACATACAGGGCTGTGAATTCAAAATGGCCAGACAAAAATCTATACCATAAGAGCGTTGTTCGTCAGGCTTGATCGACTTCTGTAATGGAATCAAAAACAACCATTCCAATGCATACGAGATATTTTCAATTACCACATTAACACATAGATTGTTTTATCTGGCAACTAAAAGAACAGGAAATGGGGATTTTTTTTCTTTATTCAGTTAACAGTGATATCTTAATTTTACCTCCTGTAGTATTCAGGGAAAGTCTATCATATTTCTTACAACACCACGAAGGAAAATATGATATTCCTACAACTCTCTGCAAGGCTTTCCACACAGATTTTCAATTCCGATTCTGTTCTTGTCTTTACAGCACAGACTATGCTGGAGAGCATGGTTTCGAGATATCATTTTCACAGCCATCGAAAGAAACAAAATCCACTACCTGGACAGTAAGTATACATACCACTAGTACAATAATTATCACATAGCAAGGCTGTTATGCATGTGGGAATTGAATTTACACCTGTTGTGTAAGAATCAGTTGTCACACCAGCCAAGACAGGTTAATTGGTCCAAAATACACTTGTACGTCTGATAATAATAATATTTACATATTCTAGGGTACTGTGTTTCATTCTCCTTTATTCAGCAATGGAAACAAGTGCATTTTTGTCATAAATACATTGTACATATAAACCAGGAACTATGTAGTGGTACAATGCATTAAATGATAAACTGGTAATATTTCGTTAACCTAAATATTACTTGACAGTTGACATTGAAGGCATCACAAATTTCACACATGGTTTATCACATGAATTAATTAACCAAATCAAGTTAATTACATTAACGGGCGTCACAGTTGTACAAGCACGCAAGAGGGCAGGCAATTAGAATAGCTTCTGACTACCAAGCTATCTTTGGATCACAAATAGCTGTTATAGTAATAATGTATGAAGGTTCAGTTTTAAAATGAAGTGAAGTGTCATAAAAGTTTCGCCCTTTCACTTCTATCCTTATGAAAGTTGGTTGTTGTCAAGCTGCAAATTACACAAGATTGAAGAAAGACTCTGTAGTAAGTGTTAAACTGTTGGAATTAGCTGGGAATATAATCGCTTAAAATTTCAGTATTTTAAAAGTTCCTTTATTTTTTACTTGCAGTACTCAGAGGTGCTTAAAAAATTGTACGTACGAATGGCTACAACATGTCCTGTGAGATTCAAGTGTTTACGAAACCCTCCTCCTGGCTGTGTTATTCGTGCCATGCCCATCTTCATGAAACCTGAACATGTTCAGGAGACTGTCAAAAGATGTCCTAATCACGCAACTTCAAAGGAACACAACGAAAGTAAGTACCAGTTGATCAGTTTCAAATTAACCGAATAAAATTTCAATTTTCAATATTGATTTCTGTCATTTAAATTACCAATGTAGTGAGAAGTGTTTGAGGAAGTGCCTGGTTCTGTTACAGAAATTAATGAAAAAATTATTGGCAAATTTTGATCACTGAATCGGTAAAGAATATTTGTTTCCCGAGGCGAAAAATGGCATGACCTTACTTTTCCTGATTAGCTTCTGTGTGTTATCAAAAGACTGAATATGTCAAAATGTTTGCAAAACAGTCAGGGGTGTACGAATAATTAATTGATAGTGCTGCTGATTGTTTTCAGCATGATGTTCTGCTGTACAAAGGCCACCTGTTATAGTTATTGATCAATAAGCCATTAGGGTAATGAATGTTGTTCATTAATGAATAATGACTATTTGTCAGAGCTTATTGACACGTGTTTCTACTATTATCAACAAAGTTGTAAATATAATTAGTCCCAACGAAATAGAAATTAAAATTGAAAATATGCAATAGTCTGCTTTTAGACTTAGTTATTGATTTTTTTCTCACAAATTTCGGAATTTAAATTTAATTATTGACTTTATTTCTTCAGATCATCCTGCACCTACTCATCTTGTCCGTTGTGAACACAAACTTGCCAAGTATACAGAGGATGGCTATACTAGCCGACAGAGTGTACTCATTCCCCACGAACATCCCCAAGGTAATGGTCTAGTTCTCAAAAGTGACATTCATTCACATATTTTGTCACAAACAAACAAAACCAGTTTAGAATAGAAATGATTGTATTTCAACAGTGCAAAAAATTAAAATGAAATGACAATTCCATTTTCTACTATATTTTTTTGAAGGCAAATATTTACAATTGCAAATTTTGCTTTGAATTCTTGAAATACTCATTAGACTAATATTAATATGGTTTTTTCTACAGCTGGTTCAGAATGGGTGACAAACCTTTTCCAGTTCATGTGTCTTGGTTCCTGTGTTGGTGGTCCCAACAGGCGACCAATCCAGATTGTCTTCACATTAGAACGAGAGTAAGTAATTCATATCTTAACAGAGGGTAACTATTCCGGGGGGGGGGGGGATTTCATTTATATAATTTTCCAAGAGATGTAAAATGGAAAATTTGTCAATTTTATTATCTTTAAATGTTTCTCTTACTCTAAACATTGAACAGAAGAAGAAGAAAAGGGAAAATAGTTTTAAGATGAAACAACCAAAAAAATATGACTAGCTGGCCGATGCCTTAACTCATTCATCCCTACATATTTAAATTGGACTTGCCCAGTCTTTGATTTGGTAAGGTCCGAATGTGACTTTAGAGGTGAAAGGGTTAATGATTTAACAATGCAGTTATTATAAATAACAGTTTATGAAAAGAAACTTCAAAAGACCTGTGAAATAATGAGTTGAACATTTTAAAGTGTGCATATTAATTTTCATGTTTGGAAGAAAGCAATTATAATGGTGGTGTCAACTTTTGTTGTAGTAACCAGGTGCTAGGCCGTAGAGCCGTTGAGGTGAGGATCTGTGCATGTCCTGGCCGTGACAGAAAGGCGGACGAAAAAGCTGCTCTTCCTCCTTCCAAGCAATCTCCAAAGAAAGTCAACGGTAAGTTGGGATTCATATTAAGTTTAAAATGGAACGTGTTTGTAATTCAACATTAATTGAAGAAAACATTAATGGTTCGTATTAAAGTGAAAGACTTGCAATTCTTCTTCTTTAAATCTTGTAAAATGGATTTGTGAATTTTATTTTCATGGATTTGTGAATTGTGATTTCACTTTCTTTTGAAGGTTTCGGAAAGGTAACCATGGGAACAGAAATCACATCCATCGGCCCTGGAGGCAAAAAGAGGAAGATTGATGGAGAGGAAGCATTCACTCTTACGGTAAGATTTTTGAACACTTGCCCCAAAATTCAGAATGATGTGAATAATGAACATTTTGTCATAACAAGTGTAGACAGTGTTTCTTTAGGCCTGTATGATTAAATAGTACAGTATGTTATATGCCGTTTTAAAAACGTCTCAAAAAAACAAAACAAACGTATAAATAGTTTCTTTGTAACAGGCCTCCTAATGTTTGAAAGGACATCACGATCATGTTCTGATGATTGGTTGTTTCAGGTGCGAGGACGCGAGAACTACGAGATCCTGTGTAAGCTAAGGGACTCCCTTGAGCTGTCATCTATGGTTCCACAAAACCAGGTGGAGTCGTACAAACAGAAGCAAGTGGAGATAAACAGACAGTAAGTACATGTCACTGTGTCTATCATTGTACTGTGTAGTGGTGTAGTGATATAGTCTTGATGTCATCAATATCTGTGTAGTCGTAGCATTCATATACTCCAGTCATATTGCCATTTCCAAATCCTTATCCGTCAGAATTAACAGCCAAAAAAATCAACTTGGCCAAAGCAAACCATGCTTTTAAAATGTTGGAAAATGAGTAAAAGTTCAAAGAAAAATCTTCCTAACGAAATTTTGTGAATTGTACAACAAAAGTAAACAGCAACTTTCATTTATGGGAGTGTTAGGTCAATCAAAATAACCTACTGTTTCTTTTTTAAATAAAAATGTAACTTTATTTCCATTATTTAACTGTTTAAAAAATTGTGGGTAATAACAATTTTGGGGAAAATTTCACTTTAAATTATCAGTGGCAGAATAAAGATTTGGAATACATGGCAATAGGACACATTTTATCATCAGTGAATAAAAACCTGCTGGAAAAGTTAAGGTGGGTGGCAGGTGCAAATTGAGGACTGGAGAGCCACTTCTGCTGGAAATCGGAGAGTCAGTAAAGGGGAGATAACTCAAGGCAACACAGCCAACTCTACACACTGCACTAGAAATATATAATAAAAGTTTAGGAACTACACCATTGAGTCGAATAGCATAAGAATAACAGAATCTGCTGTATTCAATTTTAAGAATGAGAGAGGTATGATGCACTTTGATTTGTTTTAAAAGAACAATTGATTGAGATGAATGGCGTGTGTGAGAGAGAAACTTGCTTGTGAACTAATCACACCCTCAGCTTGTTAGGTGATGTATAACCATGATTTGACCATTCCATCTGTCTGGTGGGATCGTGGTACACATGCATTTCAGGTCTTTTAAAGTTGTGGATTACCTTTTTACAGGCCTTCTATTCAAGTCTCAGACTTTGAGCCCAATCATAGTGACTTTTTCGCGAAGCTGGAACCATCAGAAGTGTCCTTTCCCTCACTTTTCACCGGCAGCCACCTGAACTACAAACAGCAGTTCAATTTCTCAAGAAATGAATACATAGTCCCTGAAGTGTAGTAGACTCATCCATTTAGTGTGACTTTTAATGAACAAAAAAAAAAGAGAAATGTCGTAACGACAGATCAAAAACTGAATAGAGCTAAACGGCTAAACTTGTGCCTGCTCATTTCAGGTGGCTGTCGATGATTCTGGCTCGGGAAAGTAAAAGCAAGATGATGAAAAAATCCAAACGCCCACTAGCAAAACCTGGCAAAGTGATCAAACCTAAGACATAGACTAATAAGACGTTGAAAAGCCAGTAATATCATGGGGCTTTGATATTCCACCAAGCTACAGAAAGAGACAGTTCAAGGATATTGACATCATCTACTCTGACCTGGTGAAAGAGCCGTGGATATCCAACGAACAGTCTCGAGCTGATATTCCTGATGTCCGTGTCACATGTTCAGCACATCGCCTATCTCTGCTTGGACATGCCAGGGTAGATACAAGTGCTTGCCGAATTTCTTCCTTGGACAGCCGATCCATTCTCTGAAGTGTTTGAGATAGATCAGGAACCGCACCATTGTCCTAATTGCGTGGATGAGATCCAGACACTGTCATTGGCCTGAAATCTCTTTGATGAAGGGGTGTCACCACTGCTCTTACCATCATGGAGGGACTCAATACAAGGGCATCAAAAATGCCAATAATTCCCAATGTGTTCATAAACATTTTATATTCAACGATCTTCATTTAAACACATATTCCATTGAATAGTACAAATAATGATTTGTGTACATATATTCATTATAATGAATCCATTTTGCATGAAACATCTGATCATTTTTTTTTTTTGGAAATAGGATCTTTATTTTAAAGTGTCACTTTGTGTTCTTTTGTTTGGATTTTATTTATTGTTTTGTTTTGAAACATAAGTTATATGTTAAATCTGAACTTTGAAAAAAATCATACAAAGTTCTAATGCAGCATAAAAGTTTGCATTTTAAAACAAAAATCATTATTTGACTAAATTTGAAACTGTATTTTTAATTATTTTTTATCCGTCCATTTGATTAGTTATACCATGACTCTGGTAGTTATTTTTTAGAATTAATTGTTTGTTCAAAATCTCCTGTTGAAAAGATTTTAAAGAAGACAAGGAATCTCTTTTTATCACAAAGAAGGTTTTGTATCATTTGTATTCTATATATAGCTTATTAATTTATGTATATTTTTGCATTAAAGAAAGAATAAGTGCTTCTTACTTCAATCTGGAAATGATGAGAAATTATCATTTTTAGTTTCTTTTTCAAAGCCGTGCTGATAATTTAAAAATATGTATATAAATATTGATATTTAATTTTATTTATATTGTACATAGTACAGTTTTGTTTCTGTAATTCTATCGTGTGAATTAACTCATATGAACAATTATATTGGAAACTGGGTTTTATACACAGTTTCTTTATATTTATTTATACTCTGTACATTCTCAAATAAAATAGTAGTGTATATTTGTTGTTAGTTGTTCTCATTCAAGTTATCAGATCAAGATTCAACCCATGACTACTCTTTGGACCTCCCTCATTAGGAGGGAGACTCCCTCATTTTGACCAAAATTCACCAATCTCCCTCGAAACTCCACATTCAAGTCTCAACTTGCACAAACTGAAAATCTACATCCTGTGGTCAAATGATCTCCTAGTTATTGCCCGGTGTGTGTAATTACAACAGATGTGTCTGAATCAAATGAATAACTTTTTCGAGCTATTTTGATACATAAAAAGGGAAAGATAAATTGAGCAAAGCAGTTTAAGTTGGATTTCATGCACTTTCTCCCACATTGGAAATATGGAAAAATGAGGGATATATCCCTCATTGGAGGTGTCAGGGGTTGACACCTATGTCTTTGGTACATGCTGTTTATCAAGGAAAATTTTCACCCAACGGTACTTAAAGCCTTCATGGTGTAGTCATGATGAAATTTGATCTGGCAAAAGTTAAGATGTGACAAACAGCTTTGTATTCATAACACTGTGTCTGGTATATATCGAAGCTCTTGCCACTTTCAAATCTTTGTTTAGCTTGCAATTTTCTTAAGGTCTTAAAAATGTGTGCATTGTTATTTTGAATGCATACACCTGTTAAGTTCGCATTTGATATTTTCAAAATATGATGACAAAATATTTAGAATAATGAAAAACAACACTCCGCTTACCATGATTTGAATAGCTTGCCATAGAGTTACAGTTCACTAGACACGAATAGGAAATGTCTATCAGAATGGTTTGAATTCACTTAAATCTCAAATATTTGTTAATTTCTTAGATAAAATATTTTGATATTTAAATTTTATGATGCATGAAAAATGCAGGATTTCAACTTTGTCTCTTTTGTCGGTATACTGACCATTTGATTTGACCGCACCAAGTTGTTGTGATCTATACAGATAGAACTTTTGTTCTTATCCAACATACATTTTATAAGGGAACTAAATAATTATAGTTTGAAATGTTATACTTTTCAAGATTTCCTGTTTTCAAAACTGAAAGAAAGACGACAAAACATTTTGAAAAGTATAACATTTAAAATCAAATTCTTTCTAGTTCTCTTTGAAAGAAGATTACAAAACAAAACAGATGTGGATCATTCCAACTACTCAATAGGACTCTTAAAGAAGATTTTCAACTAAATCGACTTTGTAAATTCCAAAGAAAATGATATGAATTAACAATCAGGATCAAGATTTAGGTACACACACACACAAAGTCCTGGATTATCAAAAGGGTGTTTACCCAATTTTCTGAAACTAATTTCAAAAAGTTGTTTTAAATTAAACATGTCCGAACTTGATGTATTTAAATCAACTACCCAGTTAATTTTTTGTCTCTTTATCAATTCAGAAAAATGTAAAGTCACTCATTACCTTTTAAAAAAATCAACAAGTCTCAACTTGATTTTAAAAATAATCCGCTTCTAATATTACCCATTAAAAGCACTTTAAAAATTCTCTGAAGTGATTTTTCTGGTTGACTAGCTAGAATATTAGGAGGAGACATAGATAAACACTAAAATTAATATATTACTCAAATGTTCAAGGATTTTAAAATTATCTTATGTCTTATTTAAACAGCTATTAGTGTGATTGTTCAGGAATTTTTGTTATCTAAAATAATATGATTTATGCAAATTTATATTGCAACAATAAGTAATAAAAACTTGACAAAGGAAAATTTTGTTTAGGATCTGCCTACATAATCTGCTGCTGTAATAGTTGATAAAATATCATTGAGTAAAGTTGATATACCTTAAAGGTGTCCAGAGGCACTTACATGTGGTAAAGGGCTAATATTGGACATGTCAAAAAAAAAATCTTGTATATTTTACACAAAAGTAATATTGATACAAAGATCACTTTGTAAAGGGGTTAATGATGGTAAGCTAAAGACAAAAAGAACCCATAAATATGTGTGCTAATGTAAAGTTTGAAAAAAATCCATTAAATGATGAGTTTTAAGACTTTGTTAACTCGTTCACCCCTAAAGTCACATCTGAACCTTACCAAATCAACGACTAGGCAAGTCCAGTTTAGATATGTAGGGGTGCATGAGTAATGCTTACCAGAATTTTAATATCTATATGCATCTGTTTAAAATTTCCAAATTATTGTAAAATTGCACCTTTGATGACAGTAATATTAAAACCCTTAACAAATATTATCAAGTCCTTAAACATTATTTTCAAAACAACATCCAACAACTTGTCAAAATTCTGAAAAGGAAAGTTCAGGAGAAGGAAATTTCTTCAAAAAACGGTGTTACAGGGAAAATTGTAAGCATATCGGAAAAGCTGGAAAGAATAAAAAAAATCTGCAAAAAATAGACCTTCAGAAAAACAATGTGTTGTGAAAAAATAAAACTTTTTTATTGCAAAACAGAAATTAACTGAATTAAGTATTTATAAATTCCATCCGTGGATGCACATCATATTAAAAAATTAAATTGTCTGATCAAACAATGTCAGCAGAACCCCAAAAAATCATTATTATCAGTAATGTCTATAGAGTTTTACATCTGCCAAATACAGAAATGACTAACAGACATGCACACATTTCTAGCACAACATTGTGATCCGAACTCCGACTTTCCAGATATCTTGTCAATTTTATCACTGTATCTTATTCACATAAAGTTCGAAAAAACAAACCGAAAAAAGTCGGATTAGGTCGTCTTTTTAGAATTCCAACATCAACCTGGGTTCGAGCAGCACATTTTTGTGTGTAAAATATGTTCCAAAAGAGCATATGTATGATTTTGCTTCTCTTATAAAGACACAAAATGATTTGCGAGTATCAAACATAAATTACAGTCTGTGGTTGGAAATGGCTAAACATCAGTTTAAAGATTAAACAACCAGGTGGACAACATTAAAAACTATAGAAAGTGTGTTTTCTGACCTTGTCTAATCTGACTTCCCAAGGTGTCGGGTACGACAGGTTTTATTGTGTCAGATGAACACAACTGATACCAGTAGACTTAAATAACCTAAATATCAGACGCCTACAGTAAGTAGAGATAGACTTCAAAACATATGTTAACAACATACAGTCCCAGTAACTACCAAAAGGCCTAATCTGTAATCCTCAATATTTTTTCAGACCATCCGCCACACATCTTGTGTCCATCCCAAGTCGAGAAGGTACCCCTGTAACGACCCAGACGACCATGCCCTTCGGTACCGAGTCCACAGTGCAAGTAACAAGCTCCCAGAATGGTCATCCAGCCGTCACGGTCCAACAGGTTCTGTCCGCCCCTGTCGACAATCTCAGTCCCTCGGCCATCAAGGAGGAGCTTAGCTCAACACTCAATGGGTGTGCCATTGACAATTCCATCAAGAGGTTAGTTCGAAGTTTTCCTCCTGCCACAATGATGTGGAACAAGATTGTGGGCTACTTTGTCATGAGTCAATGTTTCAATGCAGAATGGGGGAGGGGGGGGAGACGTAGACTAATTTGTTCAATTACATCGCTGAATATAACATGATGCTGACTATATTGACTCTGATTTTCGACACGTTCGGTCATTCCAACGTCTGCTGAATCCCCAAATAAATTGCTCGTTTTAATCTTGTGTGACTGGTTATGTTAACCACTGCTCATCTGAACTATTGATATACATTTTGTATATATATATCTCCTCTTTGGTTTAGAAAATCGGCTATAATACAACATTGAAAATGCAAAACAAAGTTTTGTTATTAAATATTTAAAAACAAAAACTTTGCACAATTTTTCTGGTAAATGTTAAATTGACACATTATCTTTGTTTAAACATAAGAAAATATAACATTTGTTTTGCTTACAGTTGGTTAGCGAGTCTTGGTCTGTCGGCATATATTGATAACTTCCACCAGTTGAACCTCAGCACTATGCAGCAGCTGGAAGATTTCACTATCGAGGTAAGCCTTCCTTTGCTTGACAGGAATTCTTCAGGCAGCAGTCGTACTCAGAGTCATACACTAAATGCTAAGTTTGTTTTGAACAGAAACAGTAACTGAAAATATATTTTGTTCCTTGTCTGCCAATCCAATAAATTCAACTGTCAGAAAATATCTAGAAATTTCACTAAAGAGCACTCAAATTCTACCGCGGCAGTCAGAGGGACAGGTCATATGTTTTCAATTATTAATTCGGCACAATTGTGGCTTACTAAGTTGTTTTCAGCGGTTTAGAGTCGAGATACCGGTCATTTGCACTCTTTGCTCGACAAAGGAAACAGAGATCTTCGAAAGGTCACAAAATAAGTTTTCAATAACAGTTTTTGTTCAAAACAAACTTAGCATTTATTATTCATTCCAAACTAATGAATCTTATGCCGAATAGTCATACACTCATTTCTAGGGCCATTAAATGAACCCATTTTCTGTATACTAGAGGCACTCTGTTTCCAAAATTTGTCAAGCCAAATTGCAAAAGATATTTTCTTATCACGGCTTTCTATCTTTTCTAATACTCAAGTAATTCCATAAACAATAAGAGGTAAGTCGTTTGAAAATGTACAATTTTTCCAAATTTTCCCAATTATTTTTCATAATTTGAACCCTCTTCTGAAATCTGTTGCACTTGTAACCCCTAGGCATAATGATGCCATCAGTATTGGAGAAGCTCCCTGGACTTGACAAGAAAGAATGTTAATTTCCTCAACGACGTGCAGGTCATATATACTGGACACTTAATGTAATGTTGAGTGTTTACAGTTGAAATACAAAAAGCAGGTTTCGATAGATCTAAAAAATACTAGGTACATGTTTTATTACTCAAGGAGTTTTTTGCAACCATTACATGTTCTGTTCCCTAACTGAACTTTTACTGATGCTACAATCAATGAGGAAAGTTTGCTACGTACAGCAGCTAAAACTATATTGATTTTGTTATAAGGTCTTTTTGATATCATCGTGTTAGGAGAAAAAATCCTGATACTTAGGACTGTTTTGTATGAAACCATGAAGGGATGGTAAAATGAAAATTAGAAACTAAATGTGACCGTTATCATTACAGGACCTTCAGAAAATGAAGATCGGCACAAGTCACCGAAACAAGATCTGGAAAGCATTGGTAGAGCAGCGAAACCAGTCGGTGATTCTGTCCGAGTCGGCCAGCCTCCAACACGAAATCTCGACTGCATCAACAATGAGTATGTCATCCCAGAGCAGCATCACTCCCACCTCCAACTACTGCCCCGGCTACTACGAGGTCACCCGGTACACATTCAAACATACCATCTCTTACACGGCCAAGGCCGGCGACAAGGATTCCAGTAGTCCATCGACAAAGCGACAGAAACGGGAAGATGAATGTGTCTAGAACGATTGACAGAGGACAGGGTGCAAGTGAGAGAGGGAGAGAGAGATCTTTATACAGTGCTTACCTATGCACAAAAGTGTTCTTATATATAGAATTGACTCAAAACACAGTTCAACTTGAAGGTGTTTTGCCTAGCAAGTGTGAATCAAGGTTGATGTGCGTTAGGCCGTTAGTTTGGCAAGGGTGGCAATCAACGATGTGAATATTTTTTGTATGTTTTTTACTGGGGTTATGAAATATCCCGAAAATCAATTGAAATGTTTTAAGGTAAATATTGACATTTATGTCTAACTTGATGATTTGTTGTATAAGAGTTGTCATTGCTTACCATGTCGCACGGTGGTACAGTTTCTTGCTGAAAAACAAGGAGTATGAATTCATCATTCTTGACTCTGTTACATTAAGTTTCATCTTGATAATTATTATTGTAAAAGTCGTTTTTTCATTTGGTTATAATTATTCGTAATTGTTTGCAGAAACATTTTTTTCACGGAAAATACAATCCACAAAAAAATTATAGCAAATGATCTAACCCTTACTATATATAGCACTTTGTACTACGAAAACAAGATGTAAAGTGTGTAAAAAATAGATCCTGTGAGACTTATCATTTTAGCAAATCTGTAAAAATCATGGATGGCTAAAGACAGTTAACAAAAAAATATGTGTATGTCTTAAAGAGTTCCAAATTATTACTCCCAAATAACACACACAAAATAAATTTGTATTTCTGCAAATATTTTAACAAACACTTTAATGGAAAAAATAACTGAACACATAATTAAGATGAAACTCAATGCAACAGATTCTTTATGTACTTTGTGTTTAAATGCAATATATACCTTAAAATATGTTCATGATGATCGTGTTGGTAATAATACTAGGGGGAAAATGATAGTGTAAAAATATTGATATGACAAGTGTTCAGGGGAAATAACTGTGTTCAAGCCACAACAAATTCTCATTTCATACATAATGTAGCAAACTTCAAAGTTGTAGTTGAAAGCCATGACACCTCCTTAGTGTAATCATTATTATTATTTTGGTCTCTGTACTTTCTCTTGTTTCATAGGGGGGATAACTTCGACTCTACATTGTTGAAAATTGAAATTATTTCAAATATATATATACTATAGTAGAAAAGCTCTGAGGTGCATGTGCTGTTCGTTTTGAAGTGTCATACAGCATCAAGAAAATCTGTGTTCAGTAGAAAGAAAACATTCCGTTTTATTTTTATACCAAGTTGTTTTCCATATTAATGTTGTGTTGTTTTTGGTGGAACATTTTGCTGTTACTTTGGCAGAATATTTGTTGGTAATCGTGTCTCTATCCGAGATCGATCTTGGATACATTTTGTACAGTGCTTGTGGACAGGGTTCCATCCTCTGGGCCTTTGTGCTAGGGCTTTGTTTTTGTTGTACATATGTAAAATCTTAGCTTTTTTGTTGGTAGTTGAGAGAACAATGTTGATTCTTATGTGTGTGGTTTTCCCTATCTTACACAAGTGTTTTATTTCACCTGAAGATGTTTATTTAAAGATTATACCAAGTGGAAGATTTAACCATGTGGAGCCATTTGTTTAATAAAACTACAGTTGACATGTCACTGTAGAAAAATACTGTATAGGGTTATTGCCATGATGCAGATATGTAACTCTGCAACTGTATTACAGTGAAATGTGGGTCAAAGGCAACAGCAGGTTCTTTTATACATAATGTAGAAAAAGATGTATTTAAAAAACTTAATTTGCTGTTGAAAAGATCAGAAAAAGGCATAAATGCTAGAGGAAGTAATGGGAAACCTATGGGAAATAACACAAATTGTTTCCAGTAGGAAATAGCAAAGATACGAGTGATAATGAAAAATGGACTGTTTTACAAATGGCTCCCATAGACAGTACATATATAAAATATATATGTCTTGACGTGTTCATTCTAATTTATGTTTTTATATTTATGCAAGTTGCAATGTCCTATAAAATAGATTGAAGTGTTTCAGATTTTATTATTGGTTTATGTGAAGTGCATGTTTTTATACGGAGCGTATAGTTGTAATTCTATTAAGCTTTCCGTTACAGCTGTTGTAGAAAGTTTTCAACTATTTTTGGGCACAAATCTTGTTAAAAGATTTTATACGATTTGTTTTTAATGATTGTTGTTCCTCCGTCCACATTTAACTCTTTCCACCCCTACAAACCACAATATCTAGGACTCAAATCCATAATGGTAGAGTCCACCTTTGGTTTTTAGGGTTGGTAGGTTAAATTAATTTTTGTTGAATATCGAGTGAGAGGAAACATCATATTTGAAATTATATATATATACAAATGTATATCGATTCATAGATAACATTTTGTTCATTTCTAACTCATTATAAATCACATATGACTTGCAATAATCCGTTATCATTTTTTTAAAGTTTTATATGATAAGTATGCTGGTCTTACATCAATCTTAACCTTCCGCTTGTTCCTAACCAAGTATTTCTGTTATATAAAGTGTATAATTGATACAATACCATTTATTTTGGCCTCAGTTTTTTTCATCCCTAAACAATAAACACATGCTACAGCTTTATTGCTCAACTTTACAATTTTCGAACTCAGCAATTATTCAAGTTCAAGAAGATATATGTCTAATGTTTATTTTTACATCTTCTCTCAATTAGAAGACAGCAAAATATTTATCATCATCATTGGGAAATCTTTTGAATACTTGTTGAAGAAATTCAAAAACTTTTCTTAAACCTTATAATGTTCATTTAAATTGACAATAACTTGCAAATCAAGTATTTCTGTATTGTAGTTGTCATAATATTCATCTTTGGTGCAGCAAACATAACGTTTCGAACTAGCCTCGCCCATATCGGATCGCTCATTCTCATTAATTAAGTTAAACACTGCCAAACAGTAACTAAAGGTCTGTCAAAAAACATCAGGAGACTCATTCTCAGAAAATGCTTTTATTTTGAATTTTTACATAAAAAATTATCTGGTTTATAATCAAATTTCTTTTTTTCTTTTTTAAATAATTATTTTGTATGAGTGAGAACGTGTATAATTAACTGAATAAAGAATCAATCCAATTTATTTCTGGTACAATTGTACATGATTTGTTCAAATCTTCCTTAAAAAAAAGGATATATTTTTTTGGTGCCAATCAACTCTCTTATTGCCTTGAATAAATACTGATTGAATTATAACACAAACTTAAATTTGAATTATTTCAAAATTAAATCTCTGGTATAATGCATGAAGTAAGACTTGTTAATGACAAAGAAACTACAATGGTTGCCATGGTTATTTAAAGTTTAGTTTTAGTCATTGTCTTATTCCTGTATTTGAAAAACAAATGTGGTTCGATGCAATTTTTATATCAAAAGCTTTTAAGTAGATTTTGTCTTCACAAACATGTTAAGAACAAATAACTTTAAAAATTGATTTGTTTTGTTTGGAAATGGAATTGTTAAAATACATTTAATATGAACAAATGAAAATAAATACAATTACAATGTAATATATGTTTTGTGCTATTTCCTCCTGTAGTTTAAGAACTTGTGGCCTGACTAGAGGTCTAACCACTTGTACATCCTTACCACAGCACTTTCTGTCATGGCCACTAAACCTGAAACCTGCGAAATAAGCGAATCCTTGGTTAGAAAAAGGCTTTTTCTGTAACCATTTCCAGAGTTTGACCTTTAGATCTAAGACTTACAGGTGCCTTACTCCAAGACTGACATTTACCTACAACCACTTTGACTGGTGAACCCTTTAACTCCTCCCGAGGGTCCAGGTTTTAAACCTGGAAAGGACTGATTTCGGGGCGTCTTCCTCAACCTCTGAGCAGATTTTTACTAAGTTTGCCTTGTTGTATACTTGGGACTGTCTAATCAAACTTTGTATAATGGAATGGTTTAGATCCCATTCTACAACCTTCTACACAACTGCTGAGCATGAAGAAGCACTTCAATCAGAATTGAACCAGAGGTCTAGCCCAATCTCCCTGGGCCATAACATGGAAAAAGCTGAGATACCTACCCAATAGTAAAACGTCCATGCAGTTTCTGGACACGAAGAGATTATATGCTACAAACCGCTAAGTATATATGGTAGCTTATAGAAAGAGTGTCTCCCTTCACATTAAACAAACAGCTGGATCAGATCTTATTTTGTGTACAGAGACCTATATATCATGTAATATACAGGTCTGTAAGTAAATTTCATGGGGAAAGACCACTTTCACGTAACTTGTAAGAAATCAATTTGGATAGTAGTGATATTCAGATAACCGATCTACTAGGAATTGCGAGGTTATCCATGAGAATTTCATAGTAATGTGTGACCTTAATTACAACCCTAAGGATGAGAGTAAATGTCAACCATTGAAAGATCTTTGTGATAATTTTGATCTGGAATATAATCAAAGGTGATACGTGTTTCCTCAAAAATAGAAAGTCATCACAGATTGACGTAGTTTTAAGTAACGATCGTAAGCTATTTCCATCACACGTGGGGTCAGTGATTTTCATAATATCATTGCCTTTCAGCTTCATGGAGAAGTACCACGTAAAGCGACCCAATGGACACCGTACAAAAGTTTTAAATCTTTATATATTGATAGTTTTAAGTATGATTTACACACTTCAGAAGTAGAATTTAGTAGAGATAACATTGAACCCGATGTAAATACAAATGTACTGTATTTGAAAAGTTCCATGACACATTTACAGGTATTATTAACAAAACATATACCAGTAAAGCGGATAAAAGTGTATCAACAACTGAAAACAGCTATTTTTAAGAAACGTGAGTTACATGACAAATATTTATCATGTAAAACAACTGCCAATTGGGGATACTATCGGAAACAAAGAAGTCTTTGTATTAGTATGAGAAGAAAGTCAATAAATTAATATTTCCTTGAACGATGGGCTGGAGGACCAAAATCTAAAGATTTTCGGCCTACCATTAAGCGTAATATTGTTTTATGTGAACATGATGCATTAGTGTGTGACCAAAAGAGAGTTAGTGAGACTTTTAATGATTTATTTTTTCAACGTAGCTAAAAACATAGGTATTAACAGCATTGAGGTAGATAAATACCACCGCAGTATTCAGACTAGTCAAGATCATATTACAACAGTAGAAAACCTTTTAATTTACACCAGTTGATGAGAATTTTGTCAGCAAATGCAATGCATTGGTAACCTAAGTGTGAGAAAAGCCACAGCTAGGAATAGACGGAGTTTCAGCCACGTTTGTAAAGCTTGTACGTCAAGAGATTCTTAAACCTTTAACATCTATTTGGGAATTATTCTCTTTTAAACTATATTTTTCCAGACAGAATGAAAATAGCACAAGTAGTTCCATTGCATAAGAAAAACAGTACTCTTGAAACAGATAATTATCGTCAAGTCAGTGTGCTACCAGTATTGTCAAAAATATTTGAAAGAGCTATTCATTGTCAGTTAGTTGAATTTGTTAACTACCATTTTAATGATTACTTATCAGCTTTTAGATCAGATATGGGTGTCAAACAGTTCTGTTGAAAGTTATAGGGGACTGGAAGAAGGCATTAGATGAAAATAAATACACAGGGACTATTTTAATGGTTTGTCAAAAGCATTTGATTGTGTTCCGCATGACTTGCTTTTATTGAAACTTAAGACATATGGGTTAGCGGACAATGCAGTAAATCTTATACAGAGTTATCTTAGTGATAGAAAACTGTGAAAATGAATGATTTTTGTAGTGGGTTTTTAGATTTGTACAAAGATGTGCCCCAGAGATCAATTCTCGGGCCGGTAATTTTTAACATATTTTTGAATATCTTTTACTTCGTCTCAAATTGTGAACTGTATAACTACGCAGACGACAACACACTGCCACATGCGAGTCCAAATATTACGGATGTGAAACATTTTCTAGAAACAAATAGTTCTTATTTAGTTCATTGGTTTTCAGATAATCAAGTACAGACAAACCCAGATAAATGCCAGGCTATATGTATTGGAAAGAAAACAAATTCTGCAAATTTGACTTTTAATATTGAAGGAACAGAAATTCAGCCAGAGGATTGTGTAAAATTATTAGCTAAGTGTAAAAATAGATTACCAGCTAAAAGTTAAGCAACATATATCTAATATTTGTCAAAAAGCATCTCGTCAGTTAAATGTCTTAAAGAGAATTGGATCATATCTTAATAGACTAGGCAGACTTACTGTATATCATACTTTTATTATGTCAAATTTTAATTACTGCCCATTGGCTTGGCATTTTTGCGGCAAAGTGGAAACAAAGAAAACTTGAAAGATCGACCATGACAGTTCTTATGAATCACTTCTGTTGCAGTCAAAGATGCCAAGCCTGAAACTAAGGAGGATGAGAATTTTATCTTTAGATACTTTTAAAATTATACATAAAGAAACTCCTGTTTATCTTCATGATCTCATTACAATGAAAAATAACTTACTGATACCACAAGTGAGAACTACAAGTTTCGGTCTTAATTGTTTTTGTTTTAGTGCAGCAAAGTTATGGAACTCCCTTCCCGACTCATTTAGAAAAAAAAATCTTTTTTTTTTAATACAAATCCCAGTTGGGAAGGGGAGTCCTGCAATTGTAGTGCTTGTTCTTGATCTGTGTTAAAATTACTATGCAGCTTTTTAGGTATATTTCCAGCTCAGTGCTTATTGGACACTGCCTAAGTGCTTATTGGACACTGTAGGCTTAGTGCTTATTGGACACTGCCTTAGTGCTTATTGGACACTGTAGCCTTAATGCTTATTGGACACTGACTTAGTGGTTATT